GTAGGACCAGAGGCAGGAAGACCCCCGATGCAGAAGCAAAGAGCAACATTGTTTTTTAGACATAGACTGACCCCTAAGGCGGACCGCCCCCCTTCCGGGCAGTAAGCCTGGCCGTGTCGGGCAGTGCTGGGCTACAGGGAAGGCACCCACCTTAGCAGTGACCATGTGCTCCCCATAATGTCGGATCAGGTCTCCCCGCATCACCAGCTGCAGCTGTTCCTTGGATAGCAGGGGCAGGGATGCACCCAGTAGGCGGAAACACAGGTAGCTAAGGGGGTGCAGGACAGAGCCTGGTCAGAGCCATCAGCTCCCCTGCGTGGACTCTGGGACTGCCAACCCATCTCCGCTTAACAAACAGGAAAGAGGGGGTTGAGATTGGACAAGCGCCACAGGCACCTGGCCGGCCAGGACTGCTTCTTCATTAGCCCTTGCTCCACAACTTCATTCCAGAACCGCGGGAACTTGTCTTCCTGAAGTGCCAGGCGGAGAAGGTCCAGAGCCACAGCGGGCAGTCTGCGCTCCTTCTTCACAGCGGTGGCAGCTACCTTCAGCACATTCACCAGTCTGTGGAGGAGGGCACAGGGGACTCAGGTGGCATCCACCGAACAGACAAGGGCCCGCGTGCCCTGGGAAGCAGGGTCACCCCAGGCCATACCACAAATCTGTGGGTGGCCAGACGCAGCCCCTGGACCCCAGGGAGCCCACCCACCCACACCCCTCACACCTGGGAATATTCTCATCTGAGAAGAGGTTGACCGTTCCCATGAGCTGCTTGAGCTTTGCAGGCACTTTCTGCTGGGCCAAGAGGAAGATCTCCAGGTGCTCAGGGGAGCCAAGTACTGAGTTCAAGTCGGCCTTGAGAACCTTCGGCAGGACCTCCTGCAACATGGTGTCCGGGACCTGGCGTGGGGAGATGGGATGAGGAAGGGAGGCCCCCTCACGGCAACTTTTGTTTCTTCCTGTGAGGAGAGCCCGACGGACCCTGTTCTACCTGCCACAGTGCCAACCTGAGGTGGGACAGCCACGACCCACCTTGCTAGGCATCACAATCATCAGAAAGTATTTGTTAAAAAGCTCGAATTCCCAAGTCTCAGGATGCCGCGTTTTTAACAAGCACCCCACTGATGTGTTAGGCCTGGGGTCACCATTTTAATTACTCCTCTTTTAGGTTTTTTAAGACTAGGCCATTTCTCATATAAGGAGCCCCAAGTGGAGAACTAGGGTTCGAATTCAGGTCCTTCTGGCTCTGCAGCCAGAGTTGCAGAAAGCTGGGGTCCAGGACTTGGCTGTCTCTGCTTTTTCCTTAGTAGCGAAAGGTTCCAGGTACTAGCTTACCTCCATTTCCCAAGCAGGGCAGTAGGAGTTCCTGAGGGGCCAGCTCTGCCCCAAAACAATGGCAAACACGTTTAACATACTTGCCACATGCCAGGTGCTGTTCTGGGACTACACTGTCCAATGGCAGTCACTAGCCACAAGTGGCTACTGAGCACTCGGGATATGTCAGTCAAATGCAGACTTGCTATAAGTGTGAAATATACATCAGCTTTTGAAAACTTCATATGACCAAAAAAAAAAAAAAAGTAAGATATTTCTACTTTTTTTAAAAAAGACTTTAATTTATTTTTAGGGAGAGAAGAAGAGAGAGGGAGAGAACATCAATCCGATGCTTCCCAAATGCGCTGTTTCTAGGACTGAACCCACAACCCAGGAACATGCCCTGACCAGGAATCGAATCACATCTTTCGCTTTGTAGGACAATGCCCAAAACAACTGTGCCACACAAGTCACTACACTACAACTTTTTACATTGATTGCATCTTGAAATAACGATTGTTATTTAGATAAACTAATAAATGTATCAGGTTATGTAATAAAACTATACTTATTTCTTTTTACCTTTTTCATAGAACTACTAAAAAGTGTCCATTACACACTTGTATTTCTATGGGGCATTGCTGCTCTAGAGCATTTCCATACGTTGACTCATGTCTTCTCTGTGTTTCTACAACCCGGAGTGCTACCCGAGGCCCCACAATCGGTAAGCCCGTACCTCAGAGAGAATGTCCACCAGGGCCTTATGGGGCTGCTCATGCAAGTGGTTGTAGTGCTGAGCCAGCACTTGCAGTAGCTTCACCGACTTCATCAGTGCCTCTGAGTCCTAGTTCCCAAAAAGGGGCAGAGAGTATGAGCAGGACATGCCACCGCCCCCCACCACTCCCAAGCCAGTCCACATATCCCTGTTCCCCCAAAGCTCTTACCTTCACCAGCCTGCCTGACTGAAAGAGGGCGAGCACCCCAAACAGGTTTGCAAAAAGAGCAGGTCTCATCATTACCTAGAAGAGGATCCCGGGCACTGGTGAAAAGGGCCCAAGTGTTCCCCATCCCGGGCCTGCTCACCTCCCCGAGGACAAGAGTTCTCACCTTCTTAACTTTCTGCAGGTCATGTTTCTCTTGTATCTGCTGTAGGATGCTGCACAAAGGGATGTCTTCAAAAGACTGTAACAGCTGCCAGGAGTTGTGACAGGACGAAGAGAGGGGCTCAGGGCAGTGACCCAGATACATGCCAACAGAACTCCACCTCCTCCCACGACTCCCTTCGGTTTTGGCCCAGAGGCCTTGGGCTTCTGCTCCGACCCCAAGGATACCCCTGAGGTTGCTCACGCCCCTCCGAGCAGCACGAACGATCGGTTCTTGCCTCCCTGCCCGTCCTTACCCTGGCTGCACAGAGTACTTCCTTTGGCCCCTAGATTCCCAGACACACTATCCCCACAGCCTGCTGCGCTCCCCTTAGGCTGATCATAGAGGACTGATTTTTACTGCCCTTCCAGCTGTTGAAGTTCCTCAGAGATGGTCTATAACCTGCGGAGTGGCCCCCGTGGGGAGAGAGCCCTGAACACTGCAGAGGTTTGGGAACCCACTCCAAAGCTTACTCCCCCCAGTAAAATGTCCCTCAGGGGCGAGTCAACCCGTGTACCAAAAAGAAAACTGCTCAACCTCCCACTCCATCTGCCCGGGCTTCTTGGATGGGCTGGCTCAGACACTTTCTCCACCTCCACGTGGGGACGCTTCCCATCAGCTCAGATGACACCCCTCCTAACTTCTCCCGCCGACGGCCGCTGACTCCTCCCCGATAGCTGAGACACCTGCCCTCCTCATTCCCCACCGTGTTGACCAGCATGGCTAGTCCCCTTCAGGAGTCACCACCTCACCTGGGCCAAGGCCAGGCTGTAGCAGGGCCGGGCGGTTTCTCGCCCCATCCCGAGTCCAGTGATGAGGCGCTTCAGGGCGTACTGCATCTCGGATCCCTGCGGAACCAAGCGCATTCCCGGGTCGACCAGTGACAAGAATCGCACCGCGCCCGCCCACCCCTGCCCCTCGGGCCGCGCTCACCTGCGCATCCAGGTTCTGACCACATGCCCCCAGTCCCCAATTCCTGTGGTCGGCCGCCCCATCTTTGCTGAGATCTACGCAGTCCCCTGCCCCAGGCTCCCCCATCATACCTTTGGTCTTGCGCGCAAATACTCCAGTAGCTTCTCCGTGGCCTCAAGCCGCGTCTCCTGTTCCGGCTTCGCGATGTCCCAGAAAAAGTCCAAGAACTCGCGGCTGTGCTTCAGGAGGCCCTGACGGTCGGCAGGCCGAGCGCCGCTCTTCGTCGCCTCTCCCGGAGACATAGCTTCAGCTACGTTCGGACTCTCCATCTCCGCCACGCTCCACGAACACGTGGGGCTCTGAAGGCGGCCTTTTCCGGGTCAGGTCGCGGCGCATGCGTACTGGATTGGGTCGGCTGGGGAAGGCGGAGCCGGGACGGGCTGGGGCGGGGCGGGGCGGGGCGGGGCGGGGCGGGGCGGGCCGACTCTTTACTCTCACTGCAGGGAATTAAGAGCTTGAATTTTACTGAGTGTGATGCGGTCGTTGAAGGGTTTTATGGAGGAACAAGTCTTGATCCTGTTCACATTTTTAAAAGACTATTCTGCAGCTCTGTTGTGAGGGATGGATTGTAGGAGTGAACAGGCAGAAGCAGAAAAAAAAGACAAGGGCGGATTGAACCAAGGTAATATGAGGACAGGTCAGATTCCAGCTAATTTGGAGCTGGGAGGGGGGTGGTGGATGCGGGAGGAGAAAAAAAAAGAGAAGGATGCTAGGTTTGGGGTTAAAATAAATGGGTAGGCTGTGCTACCATTTACTGAGCAGGGGAGGAATTTTCTTTGCTGGGCAGGGGGAGATGGAGGTGGTGGGATCAACAGTTCTATTAAATCAGAGATACCTTTTACAATGTAAAGGTGCTACTGGCCCCCCCCCCTACTTGTTGACTTGAGAGGCTGTCTGGAGGGTGTAGTCCAGAGAGACCCCAGCCCTCAGGGAGGTGTGGTCAGGGCTTTTTTGTATCCAGCCCCCTAGGGAACCTCCTGCTCACGCCCTGAACCTCTTCCCTGCTCTGTGTCTATTTTAGAAAGTTAGATTAAGAAGTTTACCTTGTACGTATGGTGCGCTAAGAGGCAGGAGGTGAGCAGAGCAGGGGGGAGCTGAAAGATAGCAGCCCAGCCCCTGCTGCTCTGGGCGGGGTTCTCTTGTGCGGCCCATAGGGGAAGCCCTAACACCAGGCTCCTCAAAGGCTTATGGGAAATTTACCAAAAAGCAGGAATAGCACATGACATCCATGGGACTTGATGTTTATTTTGTTTCCAGCCTCGTGGAGGGAGATCAGCAGATGGAGGCCTGAAGGGGAGCACAGAGATGCCAGCAGTACCCCAGGCTCTGCCTGCCTTGCCCATGGGGCCCAGATGGCATTCTTCCATCTTTCCTTCCCAGAGCTGGATCCAAACTCAGCAGGCCCTCGTGCTCTTTTCTTATTGTCCTCAGTTTTCTTAGCGGAGAAGAGCTAGTCCAGGTAACTGACCAGGCCCGAGTTTGAGGGCCTGAGCCAGTGGTGAGCACGTAGTCCATGCATACTCTTTGTGCTCACTGTCTTTTGCTGCTGGGCCTGCTCTGTCCCCGTCCCCTTAGAACCCCTGGTAGGGGCAGCAGCCATTGGGTACACCAGAGACATGGGCATGCTCCGCATGGGCTGCCACCTGGAGCACAGTCCCTTGGCCACACACACTGGGGCTCTCTGTCGGTCCTTGCTGGGCTTGGTGCTGGTGCTCATGCTGGTGCTGGTGCTGGTGCTTGGCCTGGGTTTGGGGCCTGGCCAGGTGGCTGAGCAGGGCATGAGTTGTGACTCTGGTGACTGCGGGGGTACCTGAAGCCACCAGCCCTAACACATCGGCCTCTGTGTCATCTGGGCTGCCACGAAGGATGAGGGGGCAGGCCCATGTACTAATTTCAGACTTGGCCACTAGGTTGCTGAGTAGCACCCCGGTGCTTGGCGACAGGTGTCGAGAGCCGAAGGAGCTGTTGAGTGAGGAGACGAGAAGGAGCACAGAGCCGCTGCTGTCCACGGTGGCCAGGACACTGCTTACGGGCGTCTCAGGAGCTGGCAGCGGTGGTGGGCAGGGGTCAGAGCTGGGTCCTTTGGACTGCAGGGCTGCCTGCAGCAGTGCCAGCAGTTCTGGTCCAGCTGAGGGGCTGGGGGTGGTGAACAAGATGCCCTGGGCCAAAGGTAGCTTCAGTGCCGGCTCCAAGGTGGGCACGGGCTCCGCAGAGGGCCCCTCCAGCCCCAAGTCTTTGGCCAGCAGGCTCAGCAAGGCATTCCAAGCAAAGTCTGGGGCAGGGGTAAGTGCTGCCTTGCGCAGCACAGCTGCCAGTTTTGGATTGGTGGCTCGGTCCCCAGGGCCCAGGGGGGTCCCATCCGTGTGGCAAAGTAGTGGACAGAGGCCCTTTGTACCGTGGGCTGCCAGAGCCTGGGCCAAAGGTGTGTCTACCAGGAAACCCTCCCGAGCCAGTGCGGTGGGGCCCGCCAGCAGCCGTGGCCAGGGCAGGCGGCCGAAGCGTGTGTGCAGCAGGTGCAGGGCAGGCAGAGCCAAGGGCAGCCCCTGGCCGGGGACCAGGCTCTGGGCTGGGCCTGATGTCAGGGCCGTTGAGTTGCCTGAGGAGCTATTGTGGAAGAGGCCCCAAAACATGGCACCTGGGGGAGACAAAGGTGTCACACAGGATTGGGACTCTAACTAGGGTCAGAGTCACTCAGAGCCCCAGAGGAAGGGCTACTGACTTACTCTGGGGTCAGGTGTTACTCACTGGGCGTGGAGACCCATCTGGGGTCAAGATCCCATGGGCCTTAAATCAAGGGTTGGGGTTACTGGCCAAGTCTTAGGTCACGCTCACTAACCAGCCTTGAGGACAGGGCTACTGACCGCCTGGGTGCCAGGTTGTCAATGGGGCCCAGGGTTGGGGTCACTGTCTGGGGCTGTGGATCACTGACCTAGACCTGTGGCATGAGGATGCACCACTGCCAGACACAAAGCTGCTCCGACTCCGGCGTCCACGACGTTGCCCCCAGCAACAAGCAGCTCTTGGCCCAGGTGGGAACACGTGGCTGCAGTAAGGAAGGGACTGTCATGGGGAGGGGCCTGGGACCAGTGACAGCGGCCCTTCCCCTCCCCTGGGCGGCTCTCATCACTGACCTGCAGGGCTGATGACGGCACCGTGGTGGTACACGCCGGGGCGATGGGAGTGCCCACTGGGTGGAGGGGCCACAGGGCCCAAGGTTCCTGTAGAGCTACCCCTGGTGTGCAGTTGCCACGTGGCCAGGGAGAAGCCAACAGCCAGCAGCAGCAGGGCGACGACTAGCTGGGGCCAGGCCCCTGGCCGAGTGCCAGCTTCTTTCCAACTTCTTCAGGAGAGAAGAGTATCCTGAGCCAGGGCCAAGGCAGGGGGGACACCCATGAACCCTAAAAGAACCCAGGGAACATAGCCCAAAAGGTCGATTTTGCTTGCAAGAGGAGTTTAAGTTTGCCACAGAGAAGGGCTCCCTGGCAGATGGTGCAGCGTGGACAGAAACATGAAGATTGGGGAGACTGAGGACAGCTATGGAGGGAGTCTCTGGAGAGGAGGTCGGAGAGACAGGGATGAGCCGGCCGGTAAGGAAGCCTGACAAGGGCTGGGCGGGTCTGAGGAGCAGGGCCCAGCCAGGGGTAGCCAGGCCGCAACCTGCTCAGCAGGTATCTCCTGCGCCAGGAGTGGGGGGGTGGGGGTGGGGGCTGGGAACCTTTGACAGAGCAGCTAGCAGTCCTGGCTTAGTTCAAATGTCCCTTCAGATGCAGACAGACACGGTCCCTTCAGACTGTGAATTGACTGGTTCAGGCTGGGTCTCGGGCTGTAGCTGCAGCCTAGGTTCCTCCAATTCAATCAGAAATTTCCTGGAGCGGAGCCAAGTAGAGGGAAGTCTGGCTCCGCTAGGGACCCCGGAGGAAGGCGTTTACTGGCCCCAGTCCTGAGTTGCCAGGTGCCCAGACCCATCCCTGACTCACCCAGAGGAGTCCTGGGGCTTCCAGGGGTCGGGAACAAGTGGCTTTGAAAACTCCTCCTCTTCTTCCTCAGACTCTAAGCTCTGCTCCCAGAGCAGCAGCTGCTGGTAGTGCACACGCCCTGCTGGGTCTTCCATGGCCCCACAGCGCCTGCCTCAGCCTCCCTGTCTGCCAGCCTTCCCAGCTGAGAGTCAGGAGGCCCTGCCCAAGCCAGGCAGATGGGAGGTGGAGGCAGCCTTGGGGAAGGGTGTTGTGGAACCTAGAACAGGTTTGGGCGGGTCACGGGGCCAGGGAGGCTGTGCCTGCCCCATTAGGGCGCAGAGGCCTGGGGCTCTCATGGCAGGGGGCTTTGTCAGGGGACACAGTCCAGGGAGGAAGCAGAGGCCCAATCCTCAGGCCACAGCCATAGGCCCTGAGATCCAGGATGCTTGCTGGCTCCCTCGTTAGGGGATGCAGCCCCAGGCCCCCCAGGCCTGCTCGGGATGCTAATCTAGGCGCAGTGGAACTTGAATTGGGACTACAGTTACATTGTTGCTTGGATTGGGCCTCAGTTCGTGAGTTGACTCTATGTAGAGGTGTCTGGTGTCTGGCTGGGGTCAAGGCTCAGCCCAGGCTCAGCCCGAGGCCGCTCCAGGGATTTGGGATTCTCCATCTGGGGAGCTCCTGGAGGTGAAGGCACAGCCATGTGGCTCTTGACCACCAGGTGGCACTACAGACCCATTAGGGAGCCACAACCTGGAAACCATGTTTCCAAATTCCCTCACTGGCGAACTCACACCAAGGACCTCTAATGTGGCAAAATCAGAATCCCAAAGAACGTCACAGAACAAGTTACAGATTCCAGTCTCATCCATCCTCTAGTCACGTCTCTGCTGAGCATCCTGCTACGACCACCCCGAACCTCCCTCTTCCCTGCCTCAAACCCCCAGCCGAGGGACCCCGCAGGTCAGTCCGCCCCCCTGCTTCCTGCTTCCCATGGACGAATCAAGGCTGATGCAGGAAGCCGCCCCACCCAACTGCAAACGCCCTTCCAGGCTACTCCCCGCTCCCCACCTCGTGCCACTCCTTGCCCCTTGCTCTGCCCCGCCCCTCCCACCCCTCGCCTATTTCCCCAGGTGCCTCTCTCTCTCCTGGACCCCCGCCTCCCGTAGCGTCACGTCTTCTCTCTTGGTTCCTTCTCAACAATATTTAAAAAGGGTCGAGTCCTCGCCTCAGAAATTCCTCGCCTACGTCTGTACCCAGCAGACATGCTCTAGAATGTTCCCAGCAGCCCTGATGGGAACCGTCCCAAATCGGAAAGCGCCCGCGCAGCCAGCAGCGGCAGTGTGACCGGCGCAGTCACAGGGGCGCACTCCGCGGCGGCGCGGAGGACGGCCGGCAGCTGCATGCCATAACATACATGACACACACAGCGGTGAGGGGAAAAAGGCAGACACCAAAGAGCACATGCTTTTTGCTTCCATTTATATAAAGTACAAGAACAAGTCAAACTAGTTTCTGCCATGGGGAGCAGACGGTGGCGGGAAAGGCACGAGAGGGCGCCTGGGACGCCGGTGACATCCTGTTTCTCAATCCAATGTTGCTTACACGAGTGTGCTGCCGTGAAAGTGCACCCCGCTCTCCACGTGGGACACGTCCACTTTTATTTATTTCAATAAAAAGTTTTTTGAAAAACACCTCAAGTCTTTTCTCTGTTAAAACAACCACCACAAAAATCATCCTTCAATCCCACTGGACTTCCAGCCACGGCCCTTTCCCTGGGCCTCTTCACAAGCAGGTTGGGTTGGTCCTCTGGCTTCAGTGTACAGTGGAATCACCTAGGGAGCTTGTTAAACCGGGTTGCTGGGCTCCATTCCCAGAGAGCTTGACTTTGCAGGTGTGGCGTAGGGACCTGCAGTTCGTTTTCCTAACTCCCAGGCGACCCTGGAACGGCGCTTCGAGTAGTGCTGATCTACAAAAAGACTCTCCGCACCTGCTGCCTCCATTGCCTGGCTCCCCATGTTTCCCCCACAGCCCACCGCAAGCTGCTTTCCATTCCCAAACTCCCCAGAGAAACCTTTGGTTTCCAGATTTTCTGATTTTTTTTTCCTTTTCCTCCTTACCCTCCTCTTCTCGTTACTGTTGGTTTGTTTTCTCTTTCAATGTTGCTGGTTATATTTTTCTTGCTTGTTGTGATTTTTTACACCAATAAAAAAAATAATAAACCCAATGGAAATAGCACAGGCTGTCACCTTTTCTCTTTGCCAAGGGGGGCGCGGGGTGGGGACTCCCCTGATTCCCAATGGTAATCTGCTCTTATTTAATAAAATAATTTGATTTCGCTTCCTGGTAACACACTGTGGGGAAGTTATAACCTCAGAGTGAGGGTCAGTCCTTCCTAAGAAAACGTGGTTGGGAACTGGATGTGTCTGTGCTCCCACCTCATCCCCTGCCCCATCCCCAGTCCGGCCCTGGGCTCCTAGCACTGGCTCCTTTTGTCCAGCACACGTGACTCTTTGGCGCCTGTCCAGCCAATATGACTCTGGTCTTAGAGCTATGACCCGACAAGTTCTTTGGAACCAAGGCCTCTGTTGATTGGGTCATGGGAACCTTCTGCTACATGGTCTTTCTCACTCTGGCAGGTCTGGGCCTGGACAGCACTGCCCCACATTCCAAGAGGTGACTGTTAGCTGAGCTTCAGTTTGACACCAAGCAGGCTCTGGGGATGAATGGTGGTCAGGCCAAGGCAGCTCCTGGGGCAGAGGGAGCCGGTCATTCCAGCGGCACTTAGAGATGGTATTGGCTTTAGGACATCTGGGCCTCATCTAGTTTTTGCCACTGACTCACTACGTGACTGCAAGCAAGACATTTAACCTCTGGGAGTCTTGACTCCACTTCTGTTAAAAAAAAAAAAAGTCTAACAATATCTATCCTCCCAGGGTTATTGTGAGGATTCAACAAGCATTTAAAGCATTTAGATCAGTATCTGGAACAGAGTGGACCTTCCAAAACACATGAATTCCTTGCTCTCTGTTCTGTGAAACTGACTATTGCAAAGCTGAATGGTACGGGAAGTCCCTGCCCCCGCAACCACACACACAGACACGCACACCACACGCCACTCACACGGTGGCTCTAAGTCTGAAGTACAGAACTACAGAGTCATTCATGCCCTTCATTCATTTCCTCACTTTATCTTTGACTCACTCTCTTAGTCTAATGGTTCTCATCACTCATTCACTCTCTTATCCTAAATGGTTTTCAACCTTATCCTAATGGTTCTGCACATTAGAATCACCTGATAAAATCCCAATACCCAGGCAGACCAATTAAACAATGAAATCAGACCTTTAGGTTGCAGATTCATTGGTAGTGCCTTTAAAGCTTTCCAGGTGTTCCTGGACGGGTAGCTAAGTTGGTGGGAGCATCGTCCCGACTCAACAAGGTTTCAGTTTGATCCCTCATCAGGGCACACACAAGACTCAACCAATGAATGCACAAATAGGTGGAACAACAAATCGATGTCCCTCTCTCTCTAAGAATCAATTTTTAAAATAGCTTCTCAAGTGTTTTCAGTGTGTAGCCAAGGTTGTGAATCACTGTCTTATCTAGGCCCCTAGTCCAGTGATTTCTGCAGCTGGAATCACTACCAGGGATTAAAAAAAATACCAATATGCTGGTCCTTCCCTTTCCCCAAGTCTCACACCAATGGCATCAGTATCTCTGGAAGTCAGCCTAGGTCATCATGGTAGTTTGTTTGTTTGTTGTTGTTTTAAAAGATATTATTTATTTATTTTTAGACAGAGGGGGTGGGAGGGAGAGAGAGGAGGAGAGAAACATCAACGTGTGGTTGCTTCTTGCGCACCTCATACTGGGGATCTGGCCCGCAACCCAGGCATATGCCCTGATTGGAAATTGACAACCAATGGCCCTTTGGTTTGCAGGCCAGTGCTCAGTCCACAGTGCCACACAAGCCTGGGCTTGGGTTGTTTTTTTTAAAAAAAATCCTCACATGAGGATATGTTTATTGATTTTAGCGGGGGGGAGAGATGAGTGAGAGAACAATGATGTAAGAAATATTGATTGGTTGCCTCCTGTACCGCCCTGACTAGAGATTGAACCCGCAGCCTTTTGCTGTATGGGACGATGCTCCAACCGACTTAATCACCTGGCCAGGGCATTGTAATAGTTTTTAAAGCTCCCCAAGGGATTATAATGGGTAGCCAGGTTTGAGTGCTGCTTATAAATAATAATACCCTCACAGGTGCATTTCTCAGGCATTCACTGAGCACCTCTTTGAGGTGTGTGTGCTGGGGGAGGGCAGGGAGGAGCTCAGGAACAGCTGAAGGTCGGATGTCCCCCAGTCCATGGGGCACATCCTCCAGCAGCCCTGGCTGCTCCCTCCATCAGAAGGGCCCCAAGAGGCCAACAATCTGCTTTTTTCCAGTCCCTTCAAGCTGACCTCCCTGCTCATCACCTCTCTGGCTCAGACCTGCTGTGTGTGTTGACTTTACAATTGGCTCCCTGGGACCCGCTGAGATTTGACTCTGATTATAGATTGGGACGCGTGCAATTCCAACCCATGTTATTCAAGGGTCAATTGTAACAATAAGAATTAAGTCAAACTGCAGCTGCTATTTCAGGTGTTTCTTAATTGGTGAAAATCAACACAGCCCCTGGCAAATGCTTTATTCTCTATCCCAATAAGCAGAGAATCCAGAAGTCATTTGTTTTTACCCGATAGGGATAGCAGTCTACCTTCAAACTCTTGCTTTAGAGTTATGGCAACACAGTGGCCAGTGTTGGCGTCAGGGGTACAGGCTGTGACATCTGGCGCCCCGATGAGGTGAAGAGCAGTGGCTTCCCCAGACCTTTCCGCAGCATGACTCTGAGAGTTGGTCCTCTCCGCATATCCATCCTGTGAGCTGGTTCTCAGACAGCACCCCCCACCCCCACCCCCACTTTCTGTGCACACACAGACCTTTCCTAAGTTTGTTTCCTATTTAATTCAGGTGGAAGTGTGGCCTTTGCTTACAGCTCATAACGTTGACGGGTGCACTGGTGCACATACACCTAGGAGTCTCTGGAGGGCAGCAGACATCATATGCACTTGAGGTGGGGGCGGGCAGGGGGTGGTGTATGGTGCCAGGCAGAGGCA